GAGAACCTGACCCTCCCAAGTCGCCCAACGACTGAATAACGATCCAGAACGTATAAAATTAACTTGAGGTACATAATGGAACGGCACACCCTTTACTGTACTTATATTCACATGTTGTAATATACTTAGTTAGACATCTTAATATACTTAGTGATATGTTAACATACGTAGTAACATATCTTAATATAACTAGTCATAATTAAGTATCTTAGTATACTTAGTGATATGTTAACATACGTAGTGACATATCTTAATATAACGAGTCATAATCACGTATCTTAATATACTTAGTGATATGTTAACATACGTAGTGACATATCTTAATATAACGAGTCATAATCACGTATCTTAATATACTTAGTGATATGTTAACATACGTAGTAACATATCTTAATATAACTAGTCATAATTAAGTATCTTAGTATACTTAGTGATATGTTAACATACGTAGTGACATATCTTAATATAACGAGTCATAATCACGTATCTTAATATACTTAGTGATATGTTAACATACATAGTGACATATCTTAATATAACGAGTCATAATTACGTTTCTTAATATACCTAGTCACATATTTTACATCGCTTTAGAAGATTGCCAGAGACTACTGTAAGTTATTTTAAATACCAATATTTTCTTAAGGTATATGATGCTAGTGTTACAATGGACCGTTTAATTTGTGTTTTTTATCCTACACTAATTACTATGATGTGCACTACCTCGCTCGAAACACAAACAACATTATTATATGTTTCGAATCAGACAACTTTATACGTTCTGGATCGTTATTCAGTCGTTGGGCGACTTGGGAGGGTCAGATTCTCAGGTACCAGAGAATTTTATACGTTCTGGATTGGTATTCAGTCGTTGGGCGACTTGGGAGGGTCAGGTTCTCAGGTACCAGACACCAGTCTGGGTATTTACCAAGTCATGCCGTTCCATTATGTACCTAAAGCTAACAGTCTGGGTATTTACCGAGTCATGTCGTTCCATTATGTACCTAAAGCTGACAGTCTGGGTATTTACCAAGTCATGCCGTTCCATTATGTACCTCAAGTTAACAGTCTGGGTATTTACCAAGTCATGCCGTTCCATTATGTACCTAAAGCTAACAGTCTGGGTATTTACCAAGTCATGCCGTTCCATTATGTACCTCAAGTTAACAGTCTGGGTATTTACCAAGTCATGCCGTTCCATTACATACTTGAAACAGGAACAATAAAGCAATACAAATGAAATAAACAAACGTATCATGATCACAATAGCCAAGTGTCGGTCAGTCGTGCTAGATTTCTCCACACTTCGTGAGTTACACCAGTCCAATTCCACTTTTTTTTTCTTATAACATTTTCTCTTTTCTTTGCCCGTTCCCATTTTAGTTGAATTCGATCGCTAACGTAGACGTAAATAACTCCTACGTTCCTGCCATATAAAAGTCTGCCAAGGATATATTTATCACCGAGTGAAATTAATTCACCGTTTGTTATGAAGAGAAGTTTTTACAATAAATGTGGTTTTAATGGAACTATTGCAGTAATGAAATTGATGTGATTATAAAATAACTGTGATCATGTTGGGAAGAGACAATCTTTAGATGAAATAGATATTACTGATGATAGGTTTTGGTTTCTTGAAGCTAGAAAAACCCTGTATTTTTCTTATGTCTGTTTACGGGTGGCAAAGCTGCAAAATGTATATTGGAGGATTCAAATTTGGTAGGCTTTGCTTCCCGTCATTTGTGACGGGCTTCTACACTAGTCGCGATAGAAAACTTATAATCCAAAAAAAGAGTTTTCGAATAGTTTCGCACTAATGGCGCACCTCGTTCGAATCACAACTGTTGATTTGTAGTGAAACGGTGTAAGACTAGAGAGAAGGCAGCTAGTCATCACCACCCACCGCCAACTCTTGGGCTACTCTTTTACCAACGAATAGTGGGATTGACCGTCACAATATAACGCCCCCACGGCTGAAAGGGTGAGCATGTTTGGTGTGACGGGGCTTCGAACCCGCGACCCTCAGATTGCGAGTCGAGCGCCTTAACCACCTGGCCATGCAGGAACATAGAACAACAGAGTTGTGATCAACTCTTGTAGATCTGTTCTTAACCTGTTCTTCTGGCCTTAACCACCTGGCCATGCCGGAACATAGAACAACAGAGTTGTGATCAACTCTTGTAGATCTGTTCTTAACCTGTTCTTCTGGCCTTAACCACCTGGCTATGCCGGAACATAGAACAACAGAGTTGTGATAAACTCTTTTAGATCTGTTCTCTCGAAAATCCATAAGAAATCATCCCAAGATATTAATTAGTCACGGAACAAATGAGCTTGTTTGGTGGCTCAGTGCTACTTATTAAGGTTGTAAACACAGACAGCTCGCGATAAGGAGTCAGCATCTGGTGATGATCCTGATAATCTCACTAGGATATGCTCGCAGACATACTGTTTGTATTAATTAATTTCTCAATATTCTGGTATGTTCGGGAAAAAGAGTCCCGTGATTTAGACATGGAGATCAATTTTGTGTTTCTTGTTTTTTGTATGGTGTCATAGTTTTTACCAGCTTATGCTTGAGCCAACGCCTATGCTATTTAAAGTAAAAATGAAAAAAAAAATATTGTACTTTGTATTTTCCTGGCCGTGAGGAAACCCTCCGCGGCTTTGGTGCTTGCAACTCAAGCAGGACCAGGGAATCCTAGGATTCAGGTTTACACCGTCCATAATGTTCGACTACTGGCCAGAAAAACGAAAATTAGCCAGTCTTACACACTGCCACAAGGTCTTGGTCCAATTTTGTGAACTGACCAGCAGTACACGCTGCCACAAGGTCTTGGTCTAACTTTGTAAAATGACCAGCAGTAGACACTGCCACAAGGTCTTGGTCCAATTTT